CTTCTTCCTGTGTGAACCTATAAAATCGGCAGAGTGGTTTAGTGAGCCTCTCCGAACTGCCACAAGGAACCAGCCAGACAAATTAACACGAGCGAAGTGCCCATGGCAGTGGTGTTTGTGAAGCACAGTCTACCCGTGCACCAGCTCACACTAGCGCCCACCTCAGGTAACAGTTATGAGCTTAACATGGTTCTTGCTGTCTGACCGAATGATCAATAATTCGCAATTACTGCGGGAAGGTTTGAAGAACGCAGGAAGCCAGAGAAGTGAGGCCGAGAATGAGTGTGAATGGAACCAGTGAAGAACGGCTGTCTCCTAGCCGTAGACAGAAGAAAAACACTCTGGTGACAAGGATACTAGGAGGACAGTGAGTTTGCCAGGTGGAAACTGAAGCAGCCCAGGGAGTATGTGAGGCAGGCAGGGTGTGATAGGCGAGCCCCAGGAGAGGTGGTCAGTGAGCGGTGATGCCCATGGATCAAGCGGGGAGGCGGGAGAGCCCGCCGCTGCAGGACTCAGTGATGTGGATTGCTTGGGTCTTTTTCCTCTTGTTCCATTGCTGTGGAAGAGGGGCCCCCACGCCAGTGTGCATGCTGTCCCGGCCCGCACACTCCAGATTTCCTTTTGTTCCTGCCTGCTGCCCTTTGGCCCAAGAAGTTACTACCCAGCTTTCTTGCCTCTGCAGGAACGCCTGGGTCTCACTGAAAGGGAGGAAATGAAGAGGGGGCAGAAGTTCCCTCAGCTCTTTCAACAGGCATTAGATGGTCACCGGGGCATGTGCTCACATGCGTGCCCGGCTTCCTCTCTCCTATTTTCTTTGGAATGTTGAAGAGTTATCAGTTCATGAGTAATAACGATAGTAGACAGGATCCTGTTAAGGATCCAACACCCCTACAATACTCTGAGGCCCTTTGAGCGGCTAGGCTTTCTGTGAAAGAGGAGTCTCACTTGGGTTGTATGCTCAGGTTTTCAAACATAGTCTAGCCTCACCGGGTTAACATGTGAAGGGGCTTTCCACTCCATGGAGCCCTGGCAAGTCAGGGCTGGCTACTGTGGTTACCAATGGTCCGTATTCACAGGTTTGTAATGGAAACAGCTCCGTAGAGTCGGTGTGTTAGATGTTACCTCTGTGTGCTGTTGAACGAGCCAAGGAGATGGAGGATGTGGGCCTGACTGTTGCACCTCAGGTCGCATTTGGAACTTTGTGGGAGTGTGACTACTGTTCGGAACGTCTTTCCCAGGAAGTTACAGTGGGAATTAGCTACTTGTGGACCCCAGTCCTCTCCTTCTACCACATGGGGTCTGGGGTTCAAAAACTCAGGTTAACAGGCTTTGCGCCCAACATGTTACCCACAGTGCCACCTCAGTGGCCCGGCTAGCGCAGCTTTAAACAGAAAGTAAAGAGAGAAGATGGACATAGCATAGTGAGATTTAACAAGTGCTGATGGTGGTGTTTATTACAGGCCTAGCTAAGAGTTTATAGAAGACTCATTTAGAAACTTCTTTGTGGTGGGGGGAGAGCTGACACTGGGGATGCTTTACTCAGTCTTGATGTTTTCTAGCAGATTCCAATTCATTGGCCAATTTCTGCACAATGAGGAGAGTCAGATGGTGGTGACGCTCACTAAGCTGTGACCATGGGCAGCTTGACTGAGCGACACGGTCAAAATCTCACCATGTGCCGTCAGCATTATCCCAGTTTCAGAAGTAAACAGGACCCAGAAGGCAGAGCTCAGTGCTGGGGCCTCAAGCCCTGGTCTCTGTGGTGGACTCACCAGGCACTTATGTTCCCTTTTGCTGTGCGTGCGTGAGCGTGTGAGTGTGTGTGTGCGTGTGTGTGTGTGGTATGAGTGCTGGTTTTTTTCCCCCCTCCAGCCTCATAACAGCCATGGGTTTTCGGAACTGGTTGAACCTTGTGTTTTGTTTGAGACAGGGTCTCTATGGTCTAAGATGACTTTGAACCCTCAACGCCTTGAAGTGCCTGCCTCCACCTCCCCAGTGTTGGGCTCATGGGCACGAGCTACGATATTTGAATTTTTAACTCAAATTTAGGGCCCGACAACTGAGCTTAAATCAGACTCTGCCAGTCACCATTTTCTCTCAGCACATCATGGAATCTGCACAGCCTGTGATCATGTGAGGGTGGAGGACAGAGAGAAAGCCACTTCACCAGGCTTCTAGAGCATAGGGCTCCTTTGGGCCTCTGTTATGTGACATGGACTCTGACTTTATAGGGGAAAGCAGTCACACCAGTCTCTTTTATGAGCTATGTGTTTGTCTACGTAGTCCCTCATCTTTTTTCCGATGGCAGAATACCTCAAGGGATTCATCTTCTACAAGAATAAATGGTTTAGTAAGTCATTCAATCTCTTTGGGCCAAGTTGACTATTCTCCATATTGGCCTAAGGATATTCCAAAATCTCTTCATATAGCTCTGTGATAAAGACCCTGCCTCAAACCAGGTGTTTGAATGACCAGATGAGCTACTGAAGGTAGCAGGCAAGTCTCTGGACGTCATTCATGCAGCTAACACTCTGGGAACATGTGACTGACGCTAACACTCTGAGTAGGAGGCCCAGATAGATTGTCTACTGGCTGAAGGGAATTGCACATCACCTGATGGTTACAAAGGAATACCGGGAGGCGAAGGTGTGGCTCAGCAGCCAAGAGCACGGGATGCTCTTGCCGAGCACCTGAGTTCTGTTCCCAACACTTGTGACAGGCAAGGAACAAGCACCTGTAACTCAGCCCCAGAGCAATCAATGCCTCTGGCCTACTCAGCCACCTCACTCAAGTGTATACGCCTACACACACACACAAACATAATTAAAAATAAGTTCTTCAAAAATAACAATAAAGTATGAGAATAGGATAAATAGGCTTCTCTCTCTCTCTCTCTCTCTCTCTCTCTCTCTCTCTCTCACACACACACACACACACACACACACACACACACACACACGACAAGTAATTATCTTTTTAAACAACCTCAGTAAGAGGGAAGTGGAATCCTTCATCAGGAAAAAAAGTCTCAGAGGGAGGTCCTTAGGAGCAGTGGCAAGCTGGTCCCAGTGTGCTGTGCTTGGGGAACAGAAGTGCTCCTTCTAGACAAGGTGTGGCAGGGCTGACTCTGCGCTGCAGAATACATAGCCCTCCTGAGACACCATCAATACTGTGAAGCTTTGTTCTCTGGTGGTCTCATCCCAATATGAGATCCCAGACTCACACGGAGACTTGCTCTGAGTGGAAGACTCACAGTCTGGGAGCACGTCACACGAGTGATGGAGGTTGTCAAGTATTGTGAATAAGGACAATTTTATTCATAATATGGGGACTGAACCAGGCCCTTGTACAAATATAACTGTCAACCAAAAATGTATGTTTAGTTTAATCTTATTTAGCCACAGCGTGAAGCAGGCAGAATATAGACCCTGTCCGTAGTCATTGATTTTAGGTTAGCCAGATTTATTTTTTAAAAAGAAAATAGCTCAGGGGATGGAGAGATGGCTCAGTGGTTAAGAGCACTGACTGCTCCCTCAGAGGACCCGGGTTCAATTCCCAGCACCCACATGGCAGCTCACAACTATCTGAAGATCCAGTTGCAGGGGATCTAACACCTTTGTACCAATGCACATAAAAAATAAAGTTAAATAAACCATAAAATATTAAAAAAAAAAGAAAATAGCTCATTACAATTAGTTTAAGCTAGAAAGTTGTTTTGTTGCTCTTTTTCTCTTTCTCTCTTTTAGGACTGAAGAGATGGCTCAGCGATTACGAGAACCTGAGTTGAATTCCCAGCAGCCACGTCAGGCAGCTCACAACCACCTGCAACTTCAATTCCAGGAAATCCAATGCCCTCTTCTGACCACCATTGGCACCTACACTCTCACACAGTGTCTCACACTCACACACACACCCCTAAAAAAAGTAAATGTTTTTGTTAAACTAGTATAATAAAATAGTGCTCCCAGGTTATGAAAATGAGTATAGATGAATTTTAAAAATTTATAAATCTACCTCTCTGAGCTTCATATGTACTAAGTGCTGGAAAGTGCAATATGGGGCTGGAGCAATAGCTCAGTGATTAAGAGCATCAGTTGCTCTTCCAGAGGACCCAGGTTTGATTCCTAGCACCCATGTGATGGCTCCCAGGTATCTGTGACTCCAGTTCAGTGAACCTGACACCTTCTCTGGCCTCCACAGGCACCAGGCAATCAAATGGTACCCGGACATACATGCAGATGAAACTCTCAAACACATCAAAGTTTTAAAAATTAAAAGCAAACCAAAACAAAACTATGCAAGCTCCCAAGCCAAGAAACCCACTCCTCATCTGATGGAGGTGGGACTTGTATCTTATCTGTTGCTTTCATTGGTTAATTAATAAAGAAAATGCTTGGTCCTCTGATAGGGAGGAATTTAGATAGGCAGAGTAAACAGAACAGAATGCTGGGAGAAAGAAGCTGAGTCAGGGAGTCGCCATGATTCTCCCACCCGACACAGACGCAGGTTAAGATCTTCCCTGGTAAGCCACCTCGTGCTGTTACACAGAATATTAGAAATGGGTTAGATCAACATGTAAGAGCTAGCCAATAAGAGGCTGGAACTAATGGGCCAAGCAATGTTTAAAAGAATACAGTTTCCATGTAATTATTTCAGGTAAAGCTAGCCATGTGGGCAGTTGGGTGCCGGGGACGCAGCCTGGCCGCTCCTATTTCAACACTCATCCTCCCAGCTGTCCCAGTGAATTGAACCACTTCCTGGGCGGCCTTCCCGTGTCTGTCCCTCTGAGCTGGTTAAAGGCTCAGGATGAGCAGATGAAGTAAGGAAGCCCTCTAGTGCTGGGGATCGGGCCGAGGAGCCAGCACCGCGATTCCTTCTTGGAAGCTGAAGTAAACACAGTCTGCAAGCATGCTAAGCAGAAGGTTCTAGATGTCGGAGAGGCAGGAGGTAGGGAGACTGGGAGGGAAGGGTGTGACCGGGGGCAAGGGAGAGTCTCTTACCAGGTTCTTGCTGTATTTTGTGGTTGTTTTTGAACCAAGCGATGTGAGGCTCAGGGACGCCGCTAGCTAGGCAGTCTAAGGTCGCGGAGCCGCTGATGGACACCTTGTGGTCACTGAGGTTCTGCAGCAGGTGCGGCGCCTTCTGGTCTAGTGAGGAAAGAGAAGGGCTTGGGGTTACTTCAACTGCACAAACATTGGCGTTTTTAATAGAGGCAGAGACCACCCAAAGTAACCATAAGGCTTCAACATGCACGTTTATCTTCACTCATTAAAGTTACAATGTACTAGAATGGAAAAATGAGGGACTAGGCTGGACTCTGGTTTTAGACACATGGGGGTCTTATCTGGCCAACTCGGTTTCTTCTTTGACAAGGAAGAGCTTTTTCTAAAACTCAAATATTTCAGAAACTCAACATGAAAAACATGGTTGTGTATGTAGGGTTGTATTTTTTTTTTTTACATTCCTATTACATGTTGTGATGGGCCAAAGTAATCTTATGTCTTGTGTGTGATTTCTGCATTGAGCCCGGTGGCTCTGAGTTTGTATTGATTTGAGCTGTATGGGATGGGTTGTGTTACTCCATAATCTACATTTTGAGGCAGCAGACCAAACAGGAAAGTTCTGGAATTTTCAAAGCTTTATTGATTACTTCCCTCCCTCCATTCCCTTCCCCAATGCAAGCAACCAAAAAGTTAATTCAAGAGGCAGAGGCACAAATTGTAGGTTTTGCGCTATATAATAGCACAAATATTATATTTTATATTATTTTCTCATATTTAACATACAAATATGGTACAATACAATTTATTTTAATAAAATGCCAACCAATATAGTACAACAAAAAATGAACTTAATACATTAAGATGCAATACATTATAATATTAAAATCCCACACAGGAACCGCAGTACCCCCAGGGCCCCAATGAGTACAGTGTCTCTGCGGAAACGAAGTAGTCAGTCAGTCCTGCTGATGTGTATACATTCTAGTGAGGCGGGATTGGATCAGGGACTCAAGTCCGACAGAGAAGAACAGAAACGCCTCCTAACGTCATCCCCTACCCCCACCCCCACCCTCGCCCCCCAGTCCTCCTTCTCCATCTCGTTTGCAGATCCTAGGACAGAAATCCCAAGGGTTTAGGTGTGACTTACATATTCTGCACACTGGTCTGAGCTTTCTCTGACCAGGTTTGGGTCCTCATCTTAGGAAATTAACACGGGGGTGCGCAGCTTAGGAATGGTTACGCTACAATGTGGCGCTGCTGTGGCCTGGATTCCACGTCCCCTGCAGGAGTCTGCTGCATCCCCACACCTTTCTCTTTAGATTCCTGCAGGGAAACTCTCAGGGTCAGCATCTGTTAAGGCCATTTTGAAATCCCAGGTTAAGAAGTATACCATCATATAACACGGTGAAGTAGTGAGAACGAGGCAGGGTGACTACCCATGAGATTTCTCAAGGGCTTGGGGTTCCAGAGCTTATAATAATAAGCCTTCTTTGTTTCACACAAAGTGAAATCTGAAGGCGTGCGGGCTGACTGAGATCCCTTCCTCCGGAGGAGGCTGCATGAGAACGCTCTTTGGCCACATGAGTATGCCCCTCGTCTCCTCTAGCTCACCTTCACGGGCAAAACCAGTCCTGTTATTTCTGTGTCTATGTTCTATGCAGCCTGTCAGCTTTTCTTGTTGAAAAAATGTAGCCCATAAAAAAACTTTCCATACGTGATAACTTGTGCGCACTTGCTCGATACAATGTTGACACTTTTACAGAGCATCCGTGAGATATGATGAGACAGAATAAAGAACACACGGCTAGTTAGCATTGAACAGTGACTCGGACAAATTTAACCTGAAACCCGGACCCAGTCCGTTGTGTTTCCTAGCTTCCTCCAGCACATTTTACTATGACCAATGTGCTAACTGCGATAAAACAATCCATCACTGCTCTTAGGCCTTAAGAGAAGTTTGAATACAGGGCCTATAAAACACCAATACTTTTCATGGCTGCAGTTTATAATATCATGTGGACATAGGTTGTGAGTTTCCCTGACAAATGTACTTAGAAGAGAATGTCTGATTTAACAAAAATGTTGCGAAGAGCATCCAAAGGGCCGATTTTATGCTACAAACTTCACAGGAGCAGCAGAAAGAGCTGCGGAATAAACACAGAACTCTATTTAAATACAAGGTTCACACACACCTACGGAAGCATACAGTATGAGGATTTATCTATGAATTTTTCTTTTTGTATGCTAAGTTTTCCAGTTTGGGTTTCTGTCTACAGAGTCATTCAACCTAAACATCATATGTTGTTAATTCTAGCTCAGACTCTGTAGCGATGGGTTTTGACATTTTAAAGAAGAAAGGCGCATGGAACCCATACATAGCTGGTAAAAATAGAAACCTGACCTTTCTTCTGAAATAATCTGAATTAACAGAATACTTTTGCTGGTTATCAGTAGCCAAAGACAACTGCCCACAAGAGGTTCTTTACCTTCTTAGCTATGACCCTGTGTTGCTGGCTAGGTCCTAGGCCCCTAAAGTTGTGGTTTCTTTTTTCCACTTTTGGAAGGGGCTGAGGAGCCAGCCTCATTCCCCTTTCCTTCAGCTGTCTCTCTCTCTCTCTCTCCCCCAATCTCTCTTCATATCCCAAAGAAAGACAAAAAAAACAACCTATACAATAATCGATTCTTTTCTTAGGAGAATCTTCGGGAAGGATTAATTATAACAGTGAATGGAATTCTTAAAATTGTCTCTTGGAATACATGCATCTTCCCCTCCTCCCAGGGAAGGAATAGGAAGGCTTTGCAAGTTCAGTTCAGTTTTTCTGAGAAAGCTCCCTAAATTCTTAATTTTTTTTAAAAAAAAGCTTTCCAAAAAGCTGAGCCCCCAAAGTCTTCTTAATGGTGCTGAGGTTGTGTTTCCTGAAGGAACACATTGCCTCAGAATGAACAAAGTGGCAAGGCCAAAGAGCCATAGGTAAGGCTTCAAGACACAATTGATTATTCTTTCCTCTGGGCTGACAGCCTTCCAGGCCACTGATTGTTTTCACAGCATTCGGGGCTCCATAAAAGCGGCCTTTGGGGGAAATGCTATTGTTTACTCTTTCACACTTGACAAAAGCAATTCCCACGCGAAAGACTAGTTTAGCCACGGGGACCCAGTCTGTTGCCTAGAGGAGGAAGCAGGCTGCTGAGTTCCCAAGCTTGAGAGCAGCCATGTTATCACTCCCCATTGAACTGCCCAGCTCCTGTTTCTCAGCCACTCTAGTTTGGTCATTATTGCTGGCTTCCCCCACTCCTGTAGTTCACATACAAAGATCAATCATACATGGAAACAGAACAATGCATATTAAAAGTACCTTTCCTTCAAATGCAAGCTGAAAATGTTATTGCTCTTGATTTTTTTTTAAAAAGGCATGCATTTAAATAGTTTTAATATTGCGCTTGTACTTTTGCAATTTCTTAACGACCATCAACATCCAGTTAACATTTGTATACAGAGAAGGTGGCCTTTTCCTGTTTTAGTGGGTAGATTTTCTAGTAGATATTAAGATGGCTGCATGAACTCTCTAGTCACAATGTGTCCTGGATACACGGGTTGTGGACACCTCTGATGCCAGCAAAGCAAGATGAAGGGCTTTACAACAGTGCCCAGGGGCCATGAATATTCAGAATGAAGGCTTGCTGTGCTTTCTCCAGCTGTCAGGGATTGCTGGTCCAGCACAGGGCAGTGAGGAGCAGAGCCTGAATGCTGGACTCCCTACTGAGGAAATACCTGTGGAACTACCTGGAATGGACAGAGGAGGGTGGAGCTGACTGGGTGGACCTTCATAAATCATACTTTGCTCTCAGAATTACATCAATATCTTGTGCCCCTGGGACCCATCTTAGAACCCCTAGTTTAAGATCAACATAATTCATGTAAAAAAATACTTTCAAATAAATAAGCATTATAACTTGTTATCCAGGTACTATTTACAAAATCAAGAGCAAATGAAAACAGTTAAAAGGAAAACCAGGTAGACACCCGACAAAGACTCAAATTCAACTGTACTCATGCTGTGCTGAAAAAATTAACTTATTCGTGTCCATCTTTGGCAGGAACCAGCAATTGGCTTAAATTATTCAGTTTGTGCAGCTTCACAACTTAAAAAATATATATATATATCAAAAGAGGTTGGCATCAGAGTGGAATAAAAGATGAGTCCCAGGTTGCTGTCTATCAGGCAGGAGAAGACAGAAGAGAGAAGGCAGAGTACAGGGATCTTCATCCAAACACACACCAGGTGGCCCAGAGAGCACCCTGGGCCAGCGGGCACTGGGGATCCTCATTACACTATCGTGTCCAAACTCATTCTGAGAGGAGCGTCTCCTCTGGGCCTGAAAGCTAGCAACAGTGACCATAAACCAAGATGAGAGGAGACACCGTGACTTCTCAACGAGTCCTTTAATGTTTGACATTACTCTGTGTGGTACAATCACTCCTCCTGCCTTTAAACTTGGAGCTCCGAGAGAAAAGAGCCTTTTTGTTGCAGTGCTCACCTCTAACGAGAACTTCTGTCTTCCGGAGGATTTCTTCCCCTGTGTATATGTTCCTGGCTCTGCAGGCATAGGTGCCTGAATCTTCCAGGGACACATTCTTGATGACAAGGTTCAGAGTGATGGAATACTCTTGGGTGGTGGCCATCTTCTGCTTGCTGATGCTGTGGTGCATGGTTCTGTTATTAACTGTCCGGAGTAGAAGCCAGGTAATGTCTCTGTACAGGAACTTGTTGACCGTGCAGGAGATTTTCAGGTCCTCTCCTTCTGTGGGCATCTTTTCCAAGGAGACGTGGAAGCCATTCGGGACATCTAGAAAATAAGAACAAAGAACTTCAGACCAAGTGTCTCCCAGTGAGCTACTCAGACATGGCAAGAACCATTCATTCCCCCCACAGATCCTCTAAACATCAGCCCGGACAAGGCTTTTGTCTTTTTATGTTGGCGGAAGTGATCAAACAGAGCCGAGAGCCTGTGGAGTTGAGCCCATCCCAAGTGACACAGGAAATGCAAAATCAGGGCAGTTTGGGGGGCAGGTAACCTTTTATCTGTCCCCAGTTGCTCGGCATGGTGAAATGATTTTCCTAACTTGGAACCAGAACCTCCTGCCCCATCTCGTTATCAAGTACAGTCCTGGAAAGCTGATATTTGAGGAGAGGAAAATAATAAGACAGCCCAAGAGCAACATGTACTAAAACTCCAAGGTCCCTGTACGGGCATGCTAGCTCCAAACAGCTCCTTTCAACTGAGCCCTGCCGGAAAGACTGGTCAGGGCCAGTCCGCACCAGCCCTTCAGGGACTGCCCTTACTTCACAGTGGCCTCCTCCCTGCTGCTTCTGAACAGAGTCCATGGCCTCTCTACTAGTCCAGGGGCAGAGGACAATCAGGTTCCTCACCCACTCCGGTCCTCTAGTGGGAATGCTTGTACCCATACACAAAAGGCAACATGTTTTCTTTTTGAAAATGTAGGCAAATCCGGACCAGTTTCCAGATTCCAGAGACGTACAATAGTTTTAAAGTCAAATTTAGGGCTGGGAGCGTATCTCAGTGGCAGAGAATTTGCTTAGTTAGTGTACCCAGCCCCACAGGTGGGGAGGTCGTGTTTACTCTAAAGAAAAATATCATTCTAAGGAGTGGAGTACGGAGGCGCACAGCTGCCATCCAGCACTGGGGAGGTAGTAGATGCAGGCAGGCCAAGAGTTCAAGGCCATCCTTAGTTATGTAGGAAGTTTGAAGGGGACCCGGACTACTTGTGACAGTCTTAGAAACAGTAAGAAATGGTTTTGAAGGCAGTGACATCAACAAAAGTCACTCCGTTGAGGGTCAGTTGCCATCCTTTCTCTACACCTCCAAAACCCCTTCCCATTCTACACCAGCCTGTGCACCCCACCTCTCAGGGGTCCTTCCAAAACCATCTCTTGGGTTTAGGGGTACAGGCTCCTCCATGCCATTCTAGAATACTCATGGCTACTGGCCCTGAACTGACTTATTCTCAATACCTTCCCATTGCTTGCTACTGATGATGTATCTATATTTGAGCTAAGACTTTGGGCCAACATTTTACAAAGAGCTTTGAAGATGAAAAGAGCTGTTGTCTGTTGTTATTATTATCCTCTGTAAACAAAGGTATAAAGGGACCTTTAAACCTTAAGGGGACAATAGTCCAAAATTAGACATCGTATCAGCTCTTTCCTAAATCCCACGTTGCTTGTTTTTCTGATTTTTCTGGCTTTGGCTGTATTATAAAATGTCTTGTCTGAAGAAATGCCAAGTATTCATTTGAAACCTGGAAGCAGGGGGTGACAGCAGCCTGTGAGGTGGTGGTGGCCGAGGAGCAAGGCAGAGAGGGGAGACGCTCTTGCTGAAAACCTGGTAAGGTGTCTGCAATAGCCACGCCAGCGGCTGCTTCAGCATCTGCTTTACATCCTTCCAAGGGAGAACGACATGTTCGCTGTCATCGTCCACACAGACACAAGGACAGAGGGCTGCACGCAGACCTTCTCCTAAGACCAGAGCCTTTCTGTGCTCCTCTGGACTCATCCCGGTGGGTTGGCACCCAGGGATCCCGGTCACACCACTGAGGTCATGTACGGAGTTTCTATTTACTTTAGTGATTTGAAACTTCCTGGGGAAATAGCTCACAGATTTCCTGATGGAAGATTTTGTTTATCTTTGCCAAGTGCCACCAGGAATCTCAAAATAAAATGCATTTAGTGACATTAGGAAACAAGGGAGATAAGACATTGCAGCCATTCCGGTTTCACCCTCATAGTCACACCGGGTGCCAGAAAGAAGGTAAAATAAAATTTTAAAAGAGCATGCAAAATTTACCCAGAGAAGAGAATACAAACAAACAACGAGGAAAACCCTCAGATCCATCTTGCAATCCTGTTTGCCGGGGGTGGGGTGGGGGGGGGTAGATGCGTCTGAAGCAGACAGCCCTTAGGATTTTCTGTTTCTCAGTGCAACCCCCTTTCAGTATTTGCTTTTGATCCCCAGGAGATTGTAGACAAATATCGTTGTTTAGTAAACCCCAGAGGGATTTTCTCCTCAATTATTTTTTTCAAGCCTGAATACAGAAACGGACCTAAGAAATCGTCCTCCAGCTCTGACAATGAGAAGAGCCGCTGAGCGCTCCCTAGGCATTGTTACCGAATAACACTCCTCATCTGGATGGGGTCCAGGAGAGAGAGAGAGAGACACAGGTAATCCTGTAGGCAGAGCATGCCCGTGTGCGAACGGACACTAGGTGGGCAGGCGTGGTCACTTGACTGGGTGGCCCTATAAAGACACTGGAAAGGGCGCTTGCCATCTTGTTTGAAACACTGAACACTTTACTTCCATTGAAAACTGGCAGTAATAGTCCCTGAAAGAACACGAATAGTCACTAGACAGCTCTGCTTAGTTCCTAGGTACAAGTACCAGATTTAGAAGAGGACATGGCCAGGGAAGCCAAGGACCATAGCTAGCTGCTTCCCCATGGAGGAAGAAATCACTGTGTTTTAAGAAGAGGGACATAATTAAAATGAGAATCACCAAATCACCAAATCGATCTTTGCAGCATTTAAAGTTTAGGCAGCCACTTTAGGGGTAGGGGATCCTAGGGTCTGAACTCAGGGCCACCCACATGATATGAGGGGGAGGGGGCTCTACCACAGAGATCACGGTGTTAGTTACTTCTGTAAGTTCAAAGCTGGTCAGGTTTACATATGAGCTCCTGGACAGCCAAGGATACATAGTGAGACCCTGTCTTAAATTAAAATAATTAGCTAAAAGCCAACAGTGAATATAAGCAGGTCAATCTCTCATCAACCCACATGTAGGCTTCCCAGGGCTGGTAGACAAGAGTTATGGGGCGAAAAGCTTGTCTGAGACAACCAGGCCTAGGTTACGAGCTGTTTCAGGCTTAAGTCGAAGTTTTTGTGTTTTCAGAAGTGCTGTAAGCTTCTAGGAGGCATGTCTTTCCCTTCCCCTTAGCATGGCCTCTCCCAGAACAAGCCTCCAAAGGAGATGTGTCCCCTCCTGGGCCTTTATCTGGTCTGTTCTGGTTGGACCCCTACCCTTTAATGTGACATCTCTATGGGCCAAAGGAGTGTGCCCACCCTGAGCCTCTGTCACTTTACTCTAGAAAAAGCTCAAAGCCTTGGTGTGTGGTGTGTGTGTGTGTGTGTGTGTGTGTGTGTGTGTGTGTGTGCCGACATTCCCAGAAAAAGACAGATGGTCCCCAAGTGTGCCTCTAGACTGGTTCAGTCATTCCTCAGGCAGCTCATTCTTCAGGGTCCTGACCACTAGGCCAAGAAGTGGCCTGAAGTAGACTCAGTGAGAGGTTCGGGGGCAAAGGCCGGGGAGCAGATGTGGGCATGGCCCCCCACCCACGGGGATGGAGTGCGAGGCAAACCAGGTATGGCTACATCCTACTTGGCAGCCTGAACAGCCCCAGGACTCCAGTCTAGCCTAGACTGGCCTTGAGGTCCAGATGGAGGCACAGCTATCTACAAGAAGTCGGGACACATGGCAAGGCTTACAGAGTAATTTTAGATGAGTCGGCAGCTAGAGAAGCGTCGTTGGTCCCCAGTGGTGGTCTTTCTTGGCTTTGCACACACAGGGTGAGTCCAGCCTCTTCCTCTCTGTTCACACTTTCCCCCAGCCCCCTGAGCCTCATGCTCTGTTTCTTAATCAGAGTATCAAGTTTGTTGATAACATATTAAAAATGGAATATAGTATTTTAAATATAATGGCTTAAATAAAGCTAATCTTTTTTTTTTAATGGGGGGTTGTTTTAAGACAGGGTTTCTCAGTTTAGTACTGGCTCTCTCTGTAGACCAGGCTAGCCTAAAACTCAGAGATCTGCCTGCCTTTGCCTTCTAAATGCTGAGATTAAAGGTGAGTGCCACCATCATCCAGCCTCTATAACATGACTCTATAAAATAAATGAACACTAGAAAAAGTTTTTAAAAAGATTTCTTTTTTTTTTTTATATGTGTCTATGTCTGTGGCTATGCACATGTATGTGCAGTTGCCATGGGGGTCCGAAAAAGGGCACAGAATCACCTGGAACTAGAATTTCAGGCAATTGTGAGCCACCTGATAGGATCCTGGGAACCCAAACCCTAGTTCCCTGCAGCAGCAGCAGCAGCAGCAGCAGCAGCAGCAGCAGCAGCAGCAGCAGCAGCGGCAGCAGCGGCAGAAGCAGCAGCAGCGGCAGCAACAAGCACTCTGAACCACTAAGCCATCTCTGTAGTCCCGGAAAAGTTTAAGTTCCATATGTGGCCTCTATCAGTGATGGGACCAAAGCGTAATTCAAACATCACATTACTGCTGCAGGTACATACTGATGCTAGGACATGGCACGTGCCCTCATCTCTTCCTGGGGGACCTGGGCCTGTGCTGGTACACCAGAGTTGTCATGCGCTGCTCCGCAGTGGGTACCATCAACCGTTGCTAGCTAGTTCAAAATCGAAGGCACTGTCCCGTCTTTCATCTTCCAAACCACACAAGCTTTGACTACAGATTCAGATTGTAAAAACCTGATTCCAACTAAACATAAGAATAACGCAAGCCTTTGTGTTTAGTCCAAAGCACCTGAATTTACTTGCGGACTAGTTGGAGGGAAAAATCTTGGTAAGCATCCTTCCCCAGCAAAGGACTTTCCTGCTGGGAGTGGACACAGAGATACACTCCTTTCTATTCCTCTAAGGTGAGAAGGTAGAAACCTAGCCTTGATCTAGGGGGGCTTTGCTGTGGCATTCTCCTCTCTCCAGAAAATGCAGGGGCACTCTTCACGTCTGAGAATGATTTTCAGGTTGTCTCCATGGCCCAGACTCTTTAGGGCGTGGCTCACTGGCCACAGGCTCCTGTCATCTGTCATCTAACAGTACAAACTGCCTCATGAAATTAGTCCAGTCTCGTTCTTTCTAGAGACTTCCAGGCAATGTCAGCAGCCTGCTCCATGCGGTGTGAAGTTTCCAGAGGGTTGGCACACTGCCCGGGTTTCCTCAGAACCTGGGGGAGCGCGGAGCCAGGCGGTTGCTTTTAGACACTGAGTTCCTTATTTCCTTCCTGAACCCGGGAGGGACTTAGGGAGTGCCAATCGTGGGCCTTGCCGGTTGTAAGATCTGCAGAGTCCAACGGGTTTAAAATGAAAAATCCCTAATTGCTCAAACATAGCCCACTAGTTATGATGAATAAATTTCAGTTTCAGTTTTTGACAGGAGAGTCTTAGTTCCCCCACTGGTCTGAACTACTTCAACTATGAATTTCTAAGTAAAAAAAACCCACAAACCCCAAAACAACACTCACACACACACAAAAAAAACCCAAACCAAACCAACCAACCAAAACAACCAACCAAAACAACCAACCAACTAAACAAAAAAACAAAAAATAAATAAATAAAAATAAAAAAAATTAAAAAACAAACCTCAAACCAAGCCAAGAGCAACAAAAAAGCCTCGAACATCATAGGGGTTGGGAGTGAACAAGAGGCCAGACCTGGGGTAGGTCCTGAAGGGGGTCCAAAAGCGAGCGAAAAGGATCCCAATTGAGAATCAAGTGTGGGAAGGAGAACTCAGGGAAGGGGCTCTTGAGAGAAGCCAGTGGTGTGGTGGAATTCTATTCCTGGGAGCTAGAATGGGGGTGCTCACAGCTGGACGTGTCTACGGAATGTTTAAAAAAAATCACTAGGGGTGTTCAAAACAAAGACAGCTGACTGAGGCCACCGGGTCTCTCTGAAGGCAGAGTCAGTATAGCTTACCTGTGACGTAAAATTTTATGTTTCTTTCCACAGTCCCTATTTTATTGATGGCCTTGCAGCTATAGATTCCAGAAGTTCTCGAGTCCGCCACCACCAAGGTGCTAACCGTCTGTGAAAGAGAGACAAAGTTCAGCTAGAGGACAGGGATCTTTTGAGGCAGCCCTAAGCCACTCCAGGACTCGAGTGATTCACCTATTCCATTCACGTAGCCTTTAAAGAGGGCATTGCAGGCCGGGGGTGGTAGCCGCCCCGCAAGCCCTCTGCTTGTGGAGCCCCAGCACGAACAGAAAAATAACAGGAAGGCAGGTCCTCAGGAGACCGGAGCCCATGACATCCGACTCTAGGCAGGGTTTTAGGCTTATCTCAGTCTGTTGGCATAACAACCGCAGACCTGCAGCTGAGCTGTGGGATTGCACGTCCCACCCCACGGGGTGGGCAGGCCACGTCTGGGAGAGGAACAGGTGAGGCCCGGGCCTTTCCTTGTTTGAGTGACCAGAGAGTACAGGTGCCAGCTGGCCACAGGAGGCATTTGTGTGGGCACGTGGAGTGGGTATGTAAGGACAGAAGGACAGACAGGAGGCTCAGTCAGTCAAAGGATATGTCCTTTAGCCCACCCCCCCACCCCCACCCGCCCCAAAGAGGTCTTTTTTTTTTTTTAAATATTTATTTATTTATTATGTATACAATGTTCTGTCTGTGTGTATGCCTGCAGGCCAGAAGAGGGCACCAGTCCTCATTTCAGATGGTTGTGAGCCACCATGTGGTTGCTGGGGTTTGAACTCAGGACCTTTGGAAGAGCAGGCAATGCTCTTAACCACTGAGCCATCTCTCCAGCCCCTCCCGCTGTAGTCTTGAAGGAGACTGAAAGCTAAGAAGCTAAGAGTCCCATGTATGTGTGTTTAAAGATTATGCATTCTCAGTCTCCAGAAATGAAGATAGAAGCTGTGGTCAAGTTGATATGAAATTGGAAGTACTTTTCAAATGAAATAATAAAGTCTGCCGTAACAATGGGGCAAAAATTCAGGCAGCTTAAAGGGAGCCCAGTTCCAGGAGTTCTGTGAACACCGGGCACATCTGTGGGGCATATACATACACGCAAGCAGAACACTTCTTACACCTAAAATTCAATAGGTCAATCCGAAAAGAAGACTAAAGCATGCTCAATGTTTTCAGTCAGCGAATGCCTTTCTCCTTTCTTCTCCCTGATCATTGGAAGTATCCGCTTAATCATGTCCACTCAGAGATCGTCTAGGTGTTATCGAAATTCTAGACAATGAAGAAGGCTGTAACGGGTGGTATTTTTCATTCAGTTTTTTGGACATTCATGATGCGGCTGTGTAGGCGCCGCCAGGATGTCCACGGGAAGACACAGGGGAGGACGGCAATCCCCACGGCCAATGACTTCTAAAAGTGTTTGGAATCATTCCCTGGTTCCGATAAATGCTTTCCATTTTGCAAGGCGGGAGGCCAGTGCGGAACAGTCTGAAAGATGTTCAGTTGCCTCTTCCCTTATTTTGGTTGTGAATTTTAATGAAGAGTGGGGGCTGATGGGTTCTGAGAGCCACTTTCTTGTAATTAGTATGCACACGAACAAGAGTCATGGAAGCTGTGGACAGTTGTGACAAGACAAGCTTGTTGGGGGCGGGGCACTGTGAGGGGAACTGTTAGCTGGTGGCAGCTGGAAGGACAGAGAGGCAGCCAAGCACATTGTGACCCCCGGTGTTGACTTGGGCTCTGGCAGGCTCAAGCTCTTTTCAGGGTGCTCAGAAGCCAGTGGCTGCCCCGAGGCTTCCTCTGCTTACAGCCAGCACAAGCCCAACTTCCATAGGAAGTCAGTTCTTACTGCTCATCTTAAAGGGCCCACATAGACTTAATTAGATTCTTGGATTTATTGTTGTCCGGTAAGGAAGCAGAAACCCATTTCTGCTGGCTTGAGAATATTTGGCGTTGCACACAGTCCCTCCCTGCCTCGGTGAGTCGCATTTGTACTGTTGTTAAAATGACTTCGATTCTGCTGCATACAGCACAGCTGAGGGGCTGGGTTTTGGGGCAAGGTGAAGTCAGCCTTCATGGGTGCCTTTGCCGTATTTAAGGGCTGCACACAGTGTAGCTGGAGAGATGGCTCAGTGGTATGAGCGCTTATTCTTGCAGAGGACCGGGATGTGATTCTCAGCACCCGCATGGTGGCTCACAATGGTCTGTAACTTCAGGTCTAGGGGATCTGATGCCCTCTTCTAACCTCCATGGGTACCAGGCATGAAAATAGCACACAGATATACATACACACAAAACACTCACACACATAAACTACAACAAACAAACAAACAAACGAACAGATAAATAGGCCTGCCTAGATTGTCTGGAAAAGTGGCAACTATTTTTAGAAGGCTTTCGGGCTTTCTGAGATGCCCGGGGGTGATATGAATCCATATCATACAATGGATCATGGAGAAATAAATGTGTTTCAAATATTACTTTTCTTTGCCTGAATGATGCCTTCCAAAACAAGATACCTTTTACACAGGCAAACCTCCTCCAGAGTGGAAGCTCACCACTGTTTCTGTTAAAGTAGAAATTACATTAGTGGGAGTGTTTATTATTTCTTTGTGGTGGGGTCTTCACGTTGTCACTGATATGCACTGGACAGCATTGTCTCATTGACTCTCAGCCCCAGAGACGGGGCATCAGTCTGTTAAACAAGGCAATCAGTGCTTCTGGAGGTTAAATGAAGACCCCGAAGACAACAAAGACCGCAGACAGGCCTGGGAAGAGCAGCTGGCCTGGTGTGTGGAATTCCAAAACACACTCACAATCTCTGAACATTCACCCATCCAAACTTGTCACACTGAGTAACAAAACCTGTCGATAAGAGTCCGCCTACCATTTGGAAGGAATTTCCCGTGAAAGTAGCCCATTTAATCGGCCCCAGTCGGTGACACCAGCTAAATGCTGAGTTTCCTCTGGGATAGAATTTCACACAAACTGAAACTTTTTTTTTTCCTAACTGATATGATTTGAAAGGACTGGTGAATGAATTGGAGAGAAAAAAAAATCTTTTTACCCTAAGGTGAAATGTAAAACTGATGATCAACTTTACAAAAAGTTACTTCGCTTTTAGAATATTCTTTTTCTAGTGAATATGTGTTAAAGTTATAAAATGAAATATTTTTTCATAGACCATCAAAGATATAGGTCGGGTGTGGTGGTATATGCCTTTGGTCCCAGTGACAGGAGGCAGAGGCAAGCGGATCTTTGTGGGTTGGAGGCCAGCCTAGTGTACATATTGACGCAGGCCAGCCAGGGCTACATAGTGAGACCCTGTCTCAAAAACAGCATAAACTCCATGAAAGATATTTGACGAATGTAAACCAGGTCAGGTCAGAAGTAGTAGCTTAAGTGTGACTGTACTCAGCATCTTTTGGGTGGACTACAAGACAGCTTCTCAAGGGACAGTAAGGATTCACAAGCCCCTTGAGTTAAAGTTAAACTTGATGCATGCTCACAACCACAGGGCAAAATGAAAAAAGCAGAATGGAACACCAAATTATCCCCTGGATACTTTACAAGAGAAAGTGTTGGAGATTCGAGATGCAACAGATATTTAGAGTTGTAATCATTCATTTTCTAGGGCACACTCACAGGACATCTCAAGACATATTAATTCTATAATTAGTTCTCATTCTTCTCAACTGGAAGAGAACTGAGGACCAGCAATGAAGACAAAAGCACGAGGCTAAACTCTAATTCAGGGTATTCACATCTGACCCAGTCAGAGAAGTTGTAACAACTTATTCAAACTGATTTAATATCCAGTGACCTTAGACAGTGGGTGAACACAGGAAATTATATTCAAAGATAAAAAATATTCAAAGATAAAAACCCTTCTGTCAATGAACTAGTTTGGGGTTGACAATTGCTCAATGAAGTTTCCGGTCCCGCATGGCTCTGCATTCTAAAAGGAATGCTTGCTATGGGTCCTTTTCTATGACCCAGGATACTCATCAAGCCATACACGGTGCTGCACAGCTTTAATCCCAGCACTTGGGAGGCAGAGGCAGGCGGATGTCTGAGTCTGAGGTGAGCCTGGTCTATAAAACAAGTTCAGGGACAGCCAGGAAGACACAGAGAAACCCTGTCTCAAAAGCAAAAAAGCCCCCAAAAAACCCAAAACAAAAAACCAACCAACCAAAAACCTGTCATTAGCAACTGTAAGCCTAGATTTCTTCGTATTTCTTCCTTCTAGTTTGTGAAGTCTTAGTAATGTTACTAAGTAACTTAGTGATGTTACTTGAGATTCATGGAAAAGACTGCATGGAGGTAACATGTCCATCAGCTTGATTTCTAGAACAAGGGTTTATAATGAGCCTTTCTCTTGCCTGCCAGCTCCCAAATAATTACATGGAGACTCCTTTGATTATGAAAACTTGGCCCATAGCTTAGACTTGTTTTTAACTAGATCTTATAACTTAAATTAACCCATTAATATTAATCTATGTTCTATGTGGCTTGTGGCTGTTACCTCTCCTCCTGTATATCCTGCCTGATTTGGGTCTCCTCCCATCTCTCCCCCTTTCCTTCTCAGAGTCCTCTCTGTCCCTAGAAGTCCCACCTAACCTTTTCCTGCCTAGCTATTGGCCATTCAGCTCTTTCCTAACCAATCAGAAGGTGCCTCGGTAAGACACATCTTCATAGTGTAATCAAATATTCCACAACAAGGATTTTTTAAAAATCTATTTATGAAGTGGTGATTTTAATTTCAGGATGTTTCTAACACATCCTAAGCATTTTAGGGAGAGATGGAAGACGGTGTATAAAGGCTGTGGAAGAGCTGAAATGAACCCGGAGTGGAATAGTAGAGCCACTTGATGGGAAAACAACCAAGGACTGTGTGGGACCTGGACCACAAGCCACAGCTCTGTGGTCAGTATGACTGCATGTCATGGGACCTCAGGATATCTACACACTTCCTCCTGTACCCTCACACAAGTCCATAGCAATGCAGTCGGGCTGTCCCCATTCTGCAGCCTTACAGAATCAACACAGGGTTCTACACACTTCTGATGTTAGATTCACAAACCTCCAGACCTGGCAATTCATTTCAACAGCAGGAAAATTCAACGCTTGCTCTTAGCCACTTTCAAATGTGGGCCAAAGCTCACCAATAAGGAAATGGAATTTTAGGATTTTTATTTCCCTCTATGCCTTTCACTGACCTAAACAACAAAAACCAAAACCCCCGAGACGCCCTTCCCCCTCCAGGAGTCCCAGTGTGAAAGCTTCCCAACCCACACAAGTTCACAGAGGAGCGTTGCTGGACAAAGCTGCGGTGTGACTGTGAATGAGGAATTACTTTGGGGCTTTAATGTACTTCAAACTGTACCAAAGAAGCAAAAAGTTCTAAACTGTAAAGAACATTTCATGCAAGGCTGGACATGGTGGTGCACACCTTTAATCCCAGCACTTTGGGGGCAGAGGCAGGTGGATCTCTGTGAGTTCAAGGCCAGGTTGGTCTACAAAGTGAGTTCCAGGACAGCCGGGGCTGTTACACAGAGAAACTCTACTTCAAGCTACCAAAAATAAAAAAATAAAAAAAGGACATCCCATGCAATTTAGAAACAGCAAAACTAGGCTTGTAACTGTCAAATAAAAGATACCTTTTTCTCCCCAACACACACATATTGATAATTTAATGCTAAAACTAGGCAGTAACTTCTCCTCAATCCAGAGCATGAAATTGGCAATTCCCAGCACACTGGCGTCCGCCAGCGCCTTAAGGATCTGCGCTCTGCGTTTATTTCCACTTCCTTTACGAAGAACTTTAAAAGTTCTATAATGCAAACATTTGACCTCGAATAGATAGTCTTCATTCTATGTGACTGCAGTCTGTGTGGCAGCCATTGTGTCAAAGTCCTACGGGTAGAGGGTCTCTTCCCCAGGGCACTTCATCATCACCACAGGAAGCTAGGGAGGGTAAACGTCACTAACTCCATTGCTTTGGAGGAGTTGAGCTATCTCCATGTGGACATGTTTGCTATACAGATGGAAAGAGGAGGTGTTTGACCCTGCGCCTCCTGAACATGGGCCAGGTGGTACAAATGCCACTGTGCACAGAAATCTTTAGCTTAACCACACAACTACAGGACAATACACTTATTTCCAGCTTGACTGGAAAATTGGTGTAGACTTTTATTTTTTTAAATCTCAGCCAAGATTTCCATCTGCTCTCGCGAGGTTCTTTATTAACAGGCATTATATATGGAGTCCATTATATATATGAGTCCACACCTGTCAGGAATCTCAACCAGTTTTATCCGGTTCAATTTTACTGCTTGCTGTCTTTTTTTTTGTGGTAAGAAAACCAACTAGGAAGCCCCCTGAAACCAGGCTCATAAATTCTCTCCGCAGATCCGCCTGTGTGGCCAGGGAGAAGCAACAGATGACCGACACCAGTGATATGACCTGGAAAATTGATGAGGTCTCTGCGGCAGTACTAATTTGCTCTCTGGGGTGAGTGAACAATTTCTCCCCAAATCTAACATTCGAATTTACAGAATTCTCTCTCATCCAAGTCATGCGAGGCAGTCTCTCACAGAGGGCTGGACACCACGGAACTTCCTAGCTTCTGTCTACGTTAGGGGAAACCCATGCCAACTACTGCTAGCCTCTACAGACTGTGCTCAAAGCCTCAGCCAGTGCCTGCCTACGCTGCCACACGAATGGGCTCATTGTTTTGTTTTGCCTTAGATGGCCATGAGAGAGGAGAGTTCTGAATCAGGAGACTTTAGTTTGACTTTCTTTACCCTTTTATGCTGTATGGCTTTGGGCCACCCATGTTCAAAATAGGGGAAACCACTCTGACTTGCCAAAAATGGATGCTGGCTGTAGCATCTTCAGAAAGGGTTAGATACTGAAAAACGCAGGGCTGGCAGCGTTGGTACGTGCTGTTAATTCCAACACTCAGGAGGCAGAGACAGGTGGATCTCTGTGAGTTTATTTCAGGCTAGCTAGGGCTAGAGTAAGACCCTTCCTTAAAAAAAAAAGAAAGGAAAGAAGGAAGGAAGGAAGAAGGAAAAAAGAAAGAATAAAAGAAAATTGGGAGCTGGAGCAATGGTTCAGTGGTTCAGAGCCCCTGTTCTTGCAGAGGACTCAAGCTCAGCTCCTAGCACCTACACAGCGGCTCACGACCATCAAAAACTCCAGTTTCTGTGAATCCAGCGCCCTCCTCTGGTCTCCACAGGCATTGCATGCATGTGGTACACATACACAGACATAGACAAAACCCAAATCCACATAGATAAAAAAACAAGTCTTTAAAAAGAGAAAAGAAGAATGCAGACTTATTGTTTTTGAATCCTACATAGGAAATGATGTATCTGCTTTTCCTCCTCTAATTCAAGGAAGCAGCAGAGTAAATGGATATTTTGAGTATAACCCTCCTTGAAGAGACAGTGGGATTTGTAGAGACAGTCTCTACTACAGACCAAGATGAGCACGTATAAATAGTTGCTGGCCTGGTGTCATGTGATTTGTTTTGTAAAGCTTTGCTAGCCCCAAGCCCGAAAACAGCTGGTTTCTAAGCCCCTCCTTCCCTACCTAGGGGAAAGCTCCTTGACCTGCAGTCCACTGGGCCTTTCTGACTCACAGGGCATCCGCTCTTTCCCAGGCTCAGCGGGGAAAGCAGAAAGTGATGGGCACAAGAGTGGAAGAGGAGAAATCCACAGTGGACCCGGTTAGTTTGGGGACCTTGATAGACGGTGTGTGTCTGCACACCCAGCCTAGACTCCACCTGACAGGAACAGAAGGACGGAAATAATATTTTAGGAGACAGAAATGTTGAATTTCAGGTTGAAGCCTTGTACCAGGTTTCTTTACTAGGATTTCACGGTGTGTACAGCAGCAGGACCCAGGCACAGCTGTGGGCCAGGATCACCTGGTAGTGTGTGGCACTAATCCCAGCTCTTGGGTGGAGTGCAGGTCCCACCCCAAAGATGTGACTGGAAGGGCTACTGGCAAAGGCTTGAATGTGTAGTTGGGTATGGGAAGCTGCTAATGTGCACCAGCCTGGTGTTCATTACGAATGGGTTCTCTAGGCTGGAGGGATAGCTCAGTGGTTAAGGACCTGCATTGTTCATGCCCAAGAACCAAGTTCAACTACCATTCCCAGCACCCACATGGGAGAATGAGAGAGGACGCTCACAAGCCTGGCACCCTCATCTGGTGCCATCTAAGGGTGTTGCACACACATGGCACATACACACAACATAGGCATACATGCATGGGGAATGGAGGAGGAAGGAAAGTCAGGAGTCTGAAGAGTTCAGTCAGGGAAATATAGCAACTTAAATAATTTTAATGTATGGTCTCATGAAGGCACACCTAAGAGATTCTTTTTCTCTCTGAATTTTGAACTTTTGAACTACTTCCGGGTCTAATAAACCTAGAACCAAAAACCGAGAACATGTTCTGAGACAAACTCAACACTCGTTTCAAACAAACGGTACCTTGTTGGTTCCTTCTATGACCATCATACGCTGAGTGATGCTCTCAATTCTGTTTCCCACGTTGCTGTCAGGACCCAGGATCAAGGACCCTTCACTCTCAGAACAGAAGTCATACCTGTGAAGAAAAGGAAGTCATCACAGTACTGCCATCGGCACAGAGTGGTGAGCAAAGATGAGCGAGTTAGAGACGGTGGGGAAAGTCTGCAGAGAGAAAGCTACAAACTTTGTGAGACCCTTCCTTGTCCTCTGTTAGGGACTGAAAACAGCAACAGTGTCTACCTAGTAGGGAGATGCTCCAACAGCTAGCTATCACACATCTGTCCTGATCTAGAGAGAAAAGAAAATAGATCAGTTAGGACGTTTAGTGCCTGGATTTTAATTAGTTCTTAGTGGGTGCAAGTAGCATGCAAACAAGTGTGGGGGAGGATGGGGGTGGCACCACCGTGGTGGGGGTGGAGGTGGGGCT